ACCTTTTTGCAAAGTAGTTTCCTGGGCCATAACTAAAAAAAATTGTCAGTACTGTCCTGGTCTTCAATTTATGATAAACACACAAGTTTGCATAAGACATGTAGCAACCTACATTAGGTTTAAATTACACAAAGAGCAATGAGGGATAAATATGCATTTCCTTTTGTCATTTCCAGAAAAAGAACCTGGCCTCCTAATCATGAGGACACTAAACAAGTGCATCCACAGTTAATCAGATTAGCAAACATGACATCAGAAACCAACCTCCACCTGTGTACCTTTAACTCTTAACTTGCTCGTAACCTTACTCCTAATTTTATCCTAATACTCCTTTTGACTTTCCTGGTACAAACCACTTTAATTTCCCTGCTAACATGGATTGCTAAGATAACTAGTGAATCCTAAGAAAAAGTAACCTCCTGAAAGTGATGCTAAAACAGTATCTCGCCCAGGCAAATGTATCTCGTCTTCAAAAGTCTTCCAAGAAAACTTGGAAGACTACCTGACTTTTTCCAGCGATATAATTGAGGCTGTTTCATTCAACTTCTACTTAAAAAGGTACCCAAATAGATTACCAGAATATAGTATTCAGACTTTACAAAGGCCATGTGCTCAACTCCCAGTTCTCTTCTGCCTGGGCAGATACCTACCAAATCCCTTCTAATACTAAGGGTTTTTTAATTGGTAATAATATATTTTATATTGATAATAAATTCTTTCAAAGCATTGAGCTGAATAAAAAATAAGTACTGAAAATGTAGAACAAGTAAAATATATTTAAAATTTGACAGGAGGAATTAAAAAAAAAAAAAAAAGATTTTAAATAGATCAGGTAATTTTGCCTCTAGAAGTGTGTGCCTCTGCACTTTACAGCAGCCTCTTTACTTCTTCTTCAGATAAAAGTAAAATCAATTACCAATAGCCTAAACAGATAACTGGTCTTTCAGATAAAGCTGTCTGTGGGTATACAGAGACTGCTATACAGCATGAAACTTTTACTTCTTCATCACTTTAATTTCAACTAAAATAAAACAAAAAAGAGGTAGGAAAAAAAATAGTATGCCACATGAAAGATACACATCTGTTTCCAATGTACACGGATACTGCCTTTCTTTTTCATCCCAGACTTTGAGCTCTATGACTACTCAGACCTGTTTTTACTCTATCATTGATCTCTGTCAATTCTAAACTGCCCTGAAAAGGAAACAGTAGGACAGCACCTGTGAAGATGGTGGTGGGCAGCACACTACCTGTATGAAGGGGCACATTCAGCTCACACAAATACAGAACGTGTGACCTCTCCAGTGAGCTGAATGAAGGCAGCACATCTGTTTTCAAAGTAGAATCTACTCATAAGAAAAAAAAATTGTGAGATTGGAACTGTAGGAAAAGATCAGAAAGCTAAAAATTCTCTCTCTGCTCCCTACCACTCCACATGCAGTTAAGATACTGTCCAGAAAATGAAATCTTACACAACAGAAACTTTACTTCTGAAATAGAAATCTCCCTAAAGTATCATCTCTGGTCTACGGGGTCCCCAAGAATCTTCAATCCAGCATCCTTTTTTCAAAAGTTTCTTATCAATTGTTTCATCAAAACATCCTTTAGAAACTTTTTCTTTTCCACTAAAATTCTGGTTTAAGATTATTAAACTCCTGTAGCAATCTGTGAGGTTACAGTTCATTAACTTTCACTGGATTTTACCTTACTGGTATGTAATGACAGAGGCTGCACAGAACTTACTATTTTTGTAAATGCAAGGGTCTGAAATTAGGAGAACTTTAAAATAGCTAACATTTTTTAACATCAGAATCTCTTATTTTTTCTTATTAATTGCCAAAATAAAAAAGTTTTCAGAAAATTTTAAAATGTTCAAAAAGTTAATTCTTACATGAGTAGTTGCAATTCTATGTAAGACACCAACCCTATATTTGGTCTCCAGTCAGTGGAGTCAACATGACAGGCAGAGATTTCATTCAGCATCTGAAACAGTTACATGGTTCTGTCTGTTATTATGCAAAGAAGCATAAAAGTATAACAAAAAATTCAGTTCCTTATCCTGCAACCATTAAATGTCTCACAGGATTCCAGGCCACCTCCTCACACATGTAAGTAAAAGCTGAAGTATAAAAAGCAAGGACTGATTTTATCTCAAGGTTATGGAAACATCATTAAACCATAAAACCATGGTGTCAAAAATTTATCTTGACATTAGAAAACGTCTCAGTGAAGTTAAAGCTTTATCGTGTAATTAACTGCAGATAATTCTGTTTAATACTGAGGATCGGAATTTTAAAAACAGTCACAACCTTGATAAATGGCATGTGAAATAAACTGGAGCTTCTGAAGAGTGATCAGATAGCAAGAATGAAAAAAATCAAACTCCAGCTCCAGGGACAGTTGATACAAAAGCAAATTGTCTAGTAAGGATAGAGCAACCCTGCCAAAAAGGAAGGTACATGATGTTTCTGAAACACCTCCCCACCCAGTTGAGCTGATATCTTGCACAGGTCTTATGCAAACTCAAAATATATTGAGGTAAAATTCTATTCCCATGGAAAGAAATGGCAAAACTTTCTTTGATATTCAATAGGAGGTTTCCACAAGTTTGCACTCAAGGGCACTCTATATCCATTAAATCGCACAAGCAAATGCATAAAGCTATAATTAAGTTTCACAAAGAGAAGAGTAGTGGCCAGCAGAGAAGGAGGACTGTTTAAAAGAGCTTCTGAGAAGCTCTTCTGACCTAAATCAGGTTGGAGATTTTCCAAGAACTATCCGGAATTTAGTCATCTCACTGCAGGACCATTTTTCTCTTTTGTCTGGCTGTTTGCTTATTTTCCTTCTTGAGGATCCAGCATCAAACAGAATAAAAAATGACCTCTGACTGGATCTTTTTGTGGCATGCAATGAAAGAACTGATCCAAAAAAGTTCAATGTTAGAATAAGCACCTACTGAACTTGAAAGGAATGTTGGAAGAGGTTGGGAAAACAAGATTACATCTTGAAGTCATGTATCTTTAGTATCTCTTTATTCTATGACCACACAAAGAAGTCATCACAGCTGGTCTTTTTTAGAGTTACTCTACAGAGAAGAGGCCGCCTAAGTCTTTTATCAGAGACTTTACAGTTCGAAAGCCTTAAATTTTACCTGCTGGGAATAAGTATCCCTGTTCACCTTAAAGAAAAAAGAAAAAAAAAAAAAAAAAGAAGAAAAAGAAAAAAAAAAGGAAAAAAAAAACCAAACACCAGTATTTTTCATATTGACACACAGCTCATCTTCCAAAAACTATTCTATGGTAGTATCAGAAAATGCCTGCTGTTACCTCACTAGGCATAGAGGCATATTAAAATCATAGCACACTTATCTGACAACCAAATTGGGAAGGCTATAAACTACCATATGCAAAATTAGAGAGTGACAACAGAGCTTTCCAAAAAGCATTGTGCTTGACAGAACTCCAAACGAGGTACTAATTTTACTCACATGTAAAGCATATGGGTATATTAAGTCAAAAGCTCCTTTCTCCCAGCAAACCCACCTGTTCAGTCAGATTCTTCTGTCCCTTCCATTAATTCTTTGTATTGTTAGTGATATTAAGTACTTGTACCCATTATAGGTGTATGTCACTTGCTCTCCATTTTCCTAGGACAGACTAACACAGAGTCAGCAAAACAAGCAAAAGAAGGAAATGATACCTGCTTTAATGATCTAAGAGGCTCTGAACTTCCAGAAGAAAAGAAAAGAAATGGGGAAAAATAAACAAAAAAAAAGAAGAAAAAAAGCAACAACAACTTAAAAGCTCTGCATTTTGCAATATGTTCAATACAATAGGGGCAAAATCATAGTCAAAATAAGGAACACACTGAGTTAAAAATACTTTTGTGATAGCAAGGCTATAGTGGGTCAAATGTTGCCATTAACAGGAGCATTCCTAGATGTCCAGTTAACAGGACATGGAGCTGGGAAATCCTGACTTTCACTCTGCCCTTGATGTCCACTTGCATCACATTGGTAAAATACATGGAAGGGAAGAGGCATATATGTGCATATATGTGCAGATGCTTGTGCATGTGTGTGCATAAAAAATGTTAAAACCTTCCTTATTTTCTTCACCAGTGCTCCAATACATTGAGCAACCATCACACTACTCCTGTGAAGTCACCAGAGCCAGTGTCCATCTTAACTTATTATTACCTAGAAGGCAACAACATGTGCAAAGAATTTCTTACAAGCTGCAACTCAGTTCAAACCAATTAGGAAGTGATCATCATCTGACACTCAGCCTTATCTTCAGCTGTACAAATTCTCTAAACCAGATAACACGGCATGCTCATTGACGTGAAATACATCTGACAAAGGTCAGGCCAAACCAGCGTGCCAACACAAGACAGTAAAAGTCTGAGTGGAAACTAGGTAGTACATAAAGTTTTTATCTATAAGCCCTTTTGCCTGGTTATATTTCAGCCTGAGTGTTTTTTCAGGGAATATTGCAACTTCAAGCACAGCAGTCTAATAACCAATAAAAAAATCCAGAACACAATTCAATTGATTATATTACTCCTACTCCTTCTGTCTAAAGCAAAAAAGATCCCACAATTGTGCAAACAGATTTTTAAGTGTAAAAGATCATATATTACATTTTAATTTAATTTTTTTAAGAGTCTTTTCCTTTTGTTTGTATCAGAAGAAAAACATCTAAGAGTTTGCCAATTGTTTTTTAACTTGTTTGGTTTTTAATGCAACTTTTCATTCCAAGAGCTTTAACATGATAACTTTAAAAAGTGAAAGAAAAAATATCCTCTGTCTGCTGCTTTAATGCTGAAGTGTTACAGTTATATAAAAGCTATACTTCTGCTTAAATATGGACTGAATAGAAAAAAAACAGTTTGATTTAACTTTATCATATATCACAGTCTGCATGCATATATTGAACTCCCACTCAAAAATAAATCAGGATAATTTATGAGTTGTCAAGCAATCACATTTTAACACTTACTTTTGTGAAAATCTGAAAAAAGTCAATTGCAGGTGGCAAGTGAGACACATCCTGGATCTCTGTTTTCAAATACAGTTGCAACATCTGCGCAAGGTGCCTGAGGCCATCTTTCATTTCTTCACTTAACTGTTCAATATCTTTGGGGGAAAGGAAAAAAAATACATCATGTCATAAAAAGAACCTTTCACCAACATTTTCAAAATGTCCAATGGCAGCCATACAGTCTAGACATTTCCAGTCCCAGAATTAATCTCAGCAGAGGGCAAATTTGACAGAGGCTGGACATTTGTCACTTTGTGTGACAGCTACCTATCAACACACAGAGGAGTTTATCAGGTTGCTACTGCCAAATCATATGAATACAATGGTTAAAGATCAAAAATCAATAGATAAAGCACATGTGTAAGAAGATGTAAGACATTAGGTAGAAAATTAGCTATCTAACAAGCTATTTGGGTTTGTAACATTAAAAATGTGCTTAAAAGCCTATACAGCAGTACCTTCCTCCTTGCAGCAGTGCATACTTTTATACTGCATTCTCCATACATGTGTCAGAAACACTTTATGCTGGCAGATCAAAAGGGAAAGTATTTTAGACGAAAAGGTAGTTTCATACACAGCAGATGGTAAATGGAATGGATAGGGAGAATATTAAGCAAATATCACTTTATTAAATACTAAAGTACTGTTATTCGTGCTGTACAGATAGGAATCCTGAAGCAGCAAGAAATATAGTGATCACACATGCATCAGGTCACTGATAACATAGAAAATGAAATTCAGCTGCCCTAGTAAGTTCAGTGCCTGATTACTTGCTTCACATTTTCTTTTTTCCTGTCAGTTAGCACAAAATGTGTAAGGCCTAAATGAAGAATGTGAAGGTTAACAGATTCAAGCATTATGCACTATGAATCAATTTCATCTCTGCATAATGGTGAATTGTTATTTTAAACACCTATCCTTAATGGGAATGGAAATAATGGTTTCCCAAGAAAGGTTCTTCCTCGTACTTTAGATTCAAACTTGTTGGCCTCCTGCAAGGACAATTCAAGATCTGTGCTCCTCTTAACAGCTAACTCCTAGTCACTCACTTAAAAAGAGGATGCAATTAATCAGGTATCACTGGAATAGATTAAACAGCTGTCTAGTGTGTACAATACATGGGCTTTTGTGCTTTATCCCACCCACCATCTCTCTGGTTGAAGGTACTGGCTATTTTGTAGACTGCATATTAGATATTATGGGATTTCCATTTCACACACACCACACAAGTGGGCTGCTTTAATAATCTCCTGTTAACTACTTCTGGCAGAGTACTAAATGCTGGCTAACTTAAATGGACAGTACCCATGGACAGCTATCAGCCAGAAGTCTTCCAGTGGAACCAACTACAAGTTCCTTCTAGTCTGGTAGGGGTTTCCTTATCTGCAGACTCTTCCATTCTGTTTAGGTCTTCCCTGCTGGGGACCACCTTGCTTAGCTGAATGATGCAATCCTAGCAGTACATCACATTATGGCAAATGTACCACTCTTCATGCTACAGAGTCCAGGAGGCATCTGTGTTACCTACAGATAGAGCTCAAGAGTATTATCTATTGTATATTGTTTCTGTTTCAGCATAAAGTAACACTTTGCAAGATCTGCTCCCATTCCAATGGTCAGTCATGGCTGTTCAAATGCCAACGACAAGCTATCCTGGGGCAGCTTTGCAATATACTGAGCAGACAATTACTCCAAAGGAATATTACGTGTAGTCTGTCTCTAATAGCGTTAAGGAAAGACACACTCTTCCATAGCAATCAGATCCAGGTCCTCACAAAGTTCAAACCAGTTAGTACTAAGATAGCTGAGATATGCCACTCCATACATGGCACAAAGCCTATTTAACCACAGTATTTGCCTTTTTATACCCATGTGCATCTTAATAATATGAACATTTGAGGATGATTTTGAAAGCCAGAATTAATATACGTGTTAGAAATGATGTGTGCACTTCACAAGAAATGGAAATCTATGTATACATATATAGAAAAGTATCATCTGTGTGAGGACCGTGTCTTCAATAAAAGTAGCAACCTTCTAGATTACTAGAAAACTCAAGTTAAACAAATAAAAAACCCCACAACATACACTTGCATTTCTTATAAAACACTGCTTTGAAACTAAAGATCCTTTTTGCTTCAAATGTAATTTTTCGAGACATCATGTAATTCATCTTAAAAGACCTGATGTACATTGCAAAATGTATTATGAAAAAGAGAGGAAGGCATTATTTGCTTCACTATAAGCAAATAAAGCATCTCTAGGATGGAGAAGAGGAATCAAGTAAGCAGCACGGTATAAATGGACACTGCAGTTTAGGACAGATGTGAACAAGAATACCGACTCCAGCTGGAACTTCTGGGAGAACTGACAGATATGGGAGCAGAATGCAATTATGCACATTGGAATCTGTCCAGGATATCAGAGTTAATGATCCCAACAAAAAGTCCCAGGGGATCTTTCATGGCAAATGATCAAGACTGGGTTTTCACCGCACGTCAAGAAGCCAAGGCCAAAAGCAAAATGAAACTAAATGTATTAATGTTTTCACTTTGTATTTTTAAGAACCCTGGTGTGGGAGAGAAAATGCTATAAAAGGCCTGTGGAAAGTTTTAAAAGGCATGGAGATTTAATTATGCAGCTAATACAAGTAAGGTAGCAAAATTCTGCCCATAGTACAGCATAGAAACTCCTTTACACACTCAATCCTGGTAAGCAAAAGAAAAGTTGACTTCACAATGATCATAACAGATAGGGAAGCCTGTAGAACCACATAAATAAGGAATTGTCTTCTACTAAATGAGAACTAGCAAAAGTAACAATGCACACAGACACCCCCGATACTTAATCTGAGTTTCAGGGTATTCAATGAATTTGAAGGGATTATAGAGGTGGGAATAGAACTTTATAAAGGGCTAGGTGCCTCCACATGTTGTGGTGGGGTTTTTAAAATATATGTATTACTTATTTATCAGATAATTATTTAATAAGTATATAAAATTGTGTATGTTTTTATTCAATTTATGTAAGCCATCCACAACAAAAATCACTCAGCTGTATAAAGTAACATTGAAAGGTAATAGTGTAAAGGACACTGAGAGAGCATAGCGATAATAACAATCTTCAAATATTTTGGACTTTGATGGGAGAGGAGGGGTGGAAGAAAAAAGAACAAAAATAAAAAGATAAGTATCAATTAGAATTCTATCTGTCATATTTCTGATTACTGTTGAAACACTGTCTTCTTTTATACAGATGCTTCGTGAGAAGTTTTTTTGCTTCAGAGGATCATAACCTTTCTTGCTCAAGTGCATTCCTTCAACAAAATCTTTTCCCCTATATACTTAAACTTCTACAGAAAATGCTTTCCTATGGATTCTACCCAGTACCAAAAGAAAGTAAAATGTTTATCAACACTATTTGTAAATTGTGTGTTAAATGAGAAAAAATGTTATGAAATAACAGTAGTTTTTTGAGGACACAGAGGCAGCAAAAAGCATCACAGCTACTACAAGTTATCACATCATCCCAAAACACTTTTGGACTATTCTAACTGCAAAACCCCAGAGACCCTCTGTTCAGTCTAGCAGGGAAGCTGTGAAAACACCAAAAGGAAAGAATTAGTCAAAACCTTTATAGAAGATTATGCAAGCATCATAAGCCATTTGTACTGCATGCTGTAAACTACCAATTTCAGTTAATGCCTAGGAGTCCCCAACACCGTGCACTTTGGAGTTAAGAAGATTACACAGGGATTGCTATTGAAGCTCTTAGAGTAAATATAGAGGAAACTGTAGATATGGATCTCTCATTTGCCTCCTCCTAAACTAACTTGTTATGGATCAGCTTTTTCTGCATCAGTGAGAGAGAGGACAGTCATCTCACTTGTATCACAGGCCACCTCAGCATTTCCTTCAGAGTGAGAATTTTAATAGGCGCTTCCAGCCATTTTACTGATTTTTGTACCATTTCTTCATTGCAGCTCAGGACTGTCCCATACCAATCTTCTCTCCAGAAAACCTATTGTACTATTCCCCTTGTCTCCACTGAAGTTAAGGGAAACTGAGATTATCTCCTGAGGAGTACTGAGAAATTACTGTAGTCTTCACCATTTTAACTTCTTTTGAGCATTTGGAAATGCTGGTCTTAATTCACATCCTCACCTAATTCCCCATAACCCTTTGTTACATGATTGGAGAATATGCATGGCAGAAGATCATGCTGTTTTAAATTACTGAAATGCATTCCCTCTATCCTTTTTAATTTGTTACCTTACTAAGGTCTTCTGCCCATGCAGTTTGGGAGAAGGTGGCAGAATATCAGGATATTATACTAGTTATGGTATGTGTATGCAGTTTTTATTTCTACCTAACTATATCAACAGATCAAGCTAGATTATAGACAAAGCCCTAAATACCACTAAAAAATGTTGAGCTAGTCAAAATATTCACATAACTGTATAGAAAACTCCTTTAAGCAAGATGCAAGAATTAACTAAGGATGTATTTCTTCCCTTACAAGTCATTAAGCTACTGCAAAATCTGGAAAAATGTTTTTTATTTTAGCATTATCTCTGCTGAGAGATTATAATGAGCATCCTTTCCTTGTAAAACCACAAAAATAATAGCTGTAAATTTTATCTTCTTTTCTCAGTGGAAAGTCATGTAGAAGAAAGACATACACAAATTCCCTGTAAATTTCAGATTTCTCTCCTTTTTCTGGAAGTTATTTTGAAGCTTTATGCTATAGCACATAAATATTTAAAAAAAAAAATCTCAGTGTAAAACAAAATGCATTTTTGTGTACATACATAAAAATATTTGCATTGTATGTAATAAGGTGGACATCAGGTAAATTAAAAACTGAACAGACAAGATGCACACTGTGAAATGAGAAAAAAAAATAAAGCCAAAAAGTCAGGCGGAAGCTTTGCTTAGACAAGGCACAGGTGTTTTATTCCTGATCTTGGAAAAAACTGTTCTTCCCCACAGAGGTTTTTAGCAGGTTTTGTCTTTGATTCTATTATTCTACAGAGCAGACTTTCAGAAGGCAAGGAAATCAGATGGCAATTCTGTAAAGCAGAACTTGGAAGCATTTCCTGCAATATGGTTGGTAATTACTTACTTGACTGAAGATCAGAAAAAGAGTACAGACTCTCAGAAAGGCAGACTGATTGTCTAAGCTGTAAAACAAAAACAAACAAACAAAAAACCCAGATAATTAACACTTACATAGCATAGCATGCTTTAAACACTCTACAAGATTGATTATCCAATGCAATATGCTTGTAGGATAATCAGGTAATGGCAACGGCATCACCCGGAATCTGGTCATTCTATACCTTCCGTAAATGTAAACTATCATAAAAATACTACATTTTTCTTGGTGTTATAACACTTTCTACTAATTCTTTCCTTTTCCTTTGGCAGCTTAGCATTAGTAGTTTACTTTGGCCCTTCACACTATAATTGAAAGCAATTTATGAGGTTAGCAGTCTCAGATTTCATGTGACTATAATTAATGCACAGTATGGTTGGGTACATATTTGCACTTTAAAAACAATTATGTGCACACTTTTCCCAACAATGTAAAAATTAAGACATTAAATCATATTTTATCACTTCAGACCACAACAACTGCATGTTTTCATCCAAGACAAACAGTATCATGGCAGGGGCAGTAAAAAAATGGGCAAATCTTTTTTGATTTACAATCCCACACAGTCATAAGCTGATTGACCCAACAGAAAATTTAGTCCACATAAGTGAATCAAACCGTGGGAATGTCAAACACCCAGGACTTCCAAGAGATTTTAGAAAAAGAAAAAAAATCACTCATATAATTGAGATTAAGAGAACCCAACAATGACAGCATAGCATTGTGCCCTCTACAGGAAGGGCTAGCTAACAGTGTTGCTATCCTTACCACCCATCCAAATTAGGCTGAATGAGGTTTGCAGTGAAGTTAATGGAAAAGCACCAATTACTTCAGTAGATCAAAGAAAAAAACAGTGACACTCTGTGCTTTTTTCTAGGTAGAAATAAGTTTAGAATGCTGCCACATAGTCATAATAAGAGAAAGTTGATAAACAGGTCCCTTGAACTTAATTATGTTGATTTTAGTACCTCTTGATCCTTTCAGCATTTTTGCAAATTAATGAGTAAACTTGGAATGCAATAGGCAGTCCAATGTTGTTTCATAACCCCAGTCACTTCAGCTTTCTAGCTCTTAATTACATTAAAAATGTAGAGTGAAAAAGTATTTATCCAAATCTGATACACTTAATAAATCTAAAAGAATGTCACTTACTAGTTTAAAAACAATTCTGCCAGCAAGTCTGACAGAATCTGGAGGAAAATTGGGCTCCACACTCTTAAGACACCTGCATTCCCGCTTGTGGTCCAGCCAAGCTTCCTTCTATTAAGATTTTTTTTAAAAGGAATAGTAAGAAAAAAAGCACATTATTTTATATACTCTTTTTTGTATATATATACACATGTATATTTTTATATATATAGCTATTTATCAAACAAGCATGCTCAGCCTTGCCATAGGCTGAACCTGGAGATTCAGAACCACAGCAGCAACACAGCAATTGAGCTGGGCTGGGAGGAATGGCTGCAGAGCCAGAAGTCAGCTCTAAAGCACCAGGAAGCAGACCTTCCTTGGGTACTGATGTCCACTGACTCTGGCCGCCAGCAACACAGACTTCATCAGATGCTGACTGTGAAAGAAACAGCAGCAAAGGTGCTTTCTCAGTGTAGTCTAAGTGTTGTGGGAAGGAACAGGCTGGGTTATCTACTCAAAACAACCCCATCCCATTATTCCCTCCTCTAAGGTTATAATCGTGTAACTGATATTATGGTTATTGGAGCTACAGCAGTGCAGGTTCAGGACATAAGAGTATCAACATTATGCTATCCCAGAATTTTACTTTACCTTTAAGAAAATCTAAGAGAAACACAAATGAAAAACTGTATGGTCAAGTTCCCAGTCCAGTTCCTTGGCAATATAAAACTTACTCCAGCCTGCTTCATGCAGGCTGACTTCATGTCTGACAACATAGTACATAACATACTTTTTTGAACATTGATTTTGGTGCATTTTATGCACAAAAGGAACATGTAAAGACAGAATGAAAACAGCACAGAAACCCAGAAGAAATATCTTCACTTTTTTTGCCCATACTCCTGTTGTACAACTAATTTTCTTTACCTTTATGCAACAGGCTATAAATAGTATCATCAGCTTAATTCAACTTGATATCACCATTCCAGCTAGCTGAATTTTTTTATTAGATAAATAAATGAGCTCTGAGTCTCATTTCATTGTGGCAAGAGATGGAGCTGCATACTTCACAAGACTGAAGGAAACTAGAAGGGATACTGAAATCGACTATCTTAATTCTGCCAGCATATGTAACTGTCTAAGCAAGTGTAAACTCAACAGTCAAGACCACAGTGGTCTTCAGAACCTATCCACTTCACTAAAATGAAACTGCTGTAAAGCAATGGTATGGCTTTTCTGGGCTGCAAAACAAGGACTGTAGATGGTATTTTCACAGTTCAGACAAGGAACAGCTACTGTAACCAAAATTTGCCAAAACAGAAGAAATAAAAAATATTTTAGTTGCATGTACCATCTGAAGCTGCAATGTTTGGTTTACAGGCCACTTTTATTAGAGTAGCAGACAAAGACTGACACTTCCATAAGCAGAGACAGAAAAACAAGGTGAGGAAAAGCTGGTATATACTGAAATAAGTAATTCGCTTTTCCCCCGTTCCTTGTCCCCCCAGATCAATGTGGAAGAGCAGCAAGAATGAGTCTACAACTAAAGAAACATGTTGCAAGAGACAGTCGGTTTCTGATCACCTTTTGTTTTTCTCTCCTGTCTTTACAAGCTAAAAGTTCTGTTCATAACTTACAGAAACTCCAAGCTCATCTCCAACAGTCCATATTTACACGTTTTATTTGCATATTCACAGTATATGTTTGATACCACGTAGCTGTTTCAAATACTTTGAAAAAGCAAATTGATAAAACAGAACATATGAAAATATTGCTACAATGACAGGAATTCAGAATAACCAAGGGCTTCTGAAGGTGACATTTTATCACAGATAAAGGAGTAAGGAAAGTCAGTAAGTAATTAAGAAAGGAATAAAGCAGTAAGGAAAAAAACCTTCAGAAAAACAGCTTCTGTTAGTAACTGCCACCAAGAAAATT